ATTATATTTCCTAAAATGTTTACTTTTAAAAGTTAGACTAGCTCAAAACAGTTTCTCAAGTCAGGATGATGATGATGATGATGATGATAAAGACAAGGAAATTATAAATGTGGGCCAGAAACTCATAGTCTTTATCTCGTTTCTTATCCCCCCTGGAGGCTCAGAACTCAAAAAGGGGGACTGATGATAACAATCAGTTATTTTCTATGTGTGTTTCTGCTTGTTACTGAATAGTATTTTCCTGGTAAAGGAGCAGGAGGAATGAACCAGGAAGTTTCCTGCGTGCCAGAGCGGTCAACAATAAAAGGGAGCCCAAGCTGTTCACATCAAGGGAAAGATGTGATTAGAGAGATGTGACATGCAAAGAAATTATCTGAAAAGTGAATTCGTTTGGGAAAGTAAGAGTCCCAAGGAGCCGAGAGCAGCTGGTCATGATCAGATTCTCCATCTTTCTGTCAAATGTAATCGTATCCAAATTGGCAGGGTATTTATTGCTAAAGTCGAAGGGCCAGATTTTACACTAAACATATTTACACATTTACATTTGTGGCCTTATAAACACTCCACATTTCACTGGCTGTGACATCAAACACATTTACCAACAAAAAGCATATGCTTAATTACAAAATCATAGGGCAGAAGAGAGGCAAGCGGCAGCTGATGGGCAATGAGCTTGCGTGCGTGCCTGTGTGTGTCTACATGTGACCCAGCTGTAACACCAGGAAACCAGTAGAGAAAGGAATGGATGCTGACAATGCTGGGCCCACTTTACTTGTCCTCTGCTTCTCGGGCCTGTCCTTGTCTGACTCAGCTCTAAAGGGGGAATGGGACCCCTGGCACTCCAGTGTGTCCCATGGTTATCCCCCTGGAGGAGCCCAGAGATACTGGAGGGATTGCTGGGCACATTTCTGATTTAGATTGAGTTTGATGTGGATATGACCTTAACGATACCCCCAAATGACTTTTCTCAGTCAGTGATAAAAATAGGTGTGAGCAAAATGTGTAGCCAGCAGAGAATTTTTAAACCAAAACTACAGTCCTTAATTCCTGGCTTTGGGTAGTAAGATCAGATCCCTACCCATCTCTAGCAGTTGTAATAACACCATTAGCTGCTCCTAGCTTGGTCCTCGGTCAAGCAAGGAAATCAGAGCCACCAGGGCCAGAGAGAGAAAAACAAAACAAAACAAGCACAACCACTGGCCTCAGACAGCCCTTAATAAATGACACAGGCTGGTATTCCATCAAAATAATCACCTTCTATCAGAAAAAAACACCTCCCCCAGTTCTCTCAGAGGACAGGCTACAGGAAGAAATTTGGTAGGCTTTAAAAAAAAAACAAAAAAAACAAAACCTGAAAGGCAGAAGCTTTTTCCCCAGATGGATGCTTACTACATTCACTGTAAGCATTTTGGTAGTAAATACACCCCCAAATTCCAGTTCCACCAGCAGAAAATTTGGGCAGGAAAGGGCCACTGAGTAGGGGGACAGGAAAGGAGAGATATGCAAACATACAGGTGACTCAAGGAGAGAAAATGGGAAAGGTTCTCACAATTTTCCCCTTCTCCTCCCCAGTTTCTTTTTTTCTTTTTCTCTTCTTTTTTAAGAGGAAGGGAAGTGGCTCTTTAAATAAAGGCACAGGATGGGGATGGGGAGGAAACACATTGTTGAGCAAAAGCGCTAGCTTCTTATTTTAAAGAAATAAAATAATTACCCAACAGAGAAAAAAGAAATCAACCAAGAAACGATCTAAGGTCATGACACCATGTGTGGTACAAGGAGCAATTCAATCCATAAGGGCTTCATTACCCCCGCAATAGATAACATTTGGCTAAATCTAGCTGCAGAGTAAATCTCAGCAGCACAACAGAGCCCTGAATGGGGAGGCTCCTTTTTGTGTGGTCCTTCTCCCGGAGCTGCCTGAACCATTAGCCCCAATATATCCCTCTCCCTATTAACTGCAATTCCCTCCCGACTGCACTTCGGTCATTTGTCTCCAGGCTCTACGGGGGCGTTTGATGAGCAGAGAAACAAGACCAAGGGGAGAAAAGCGTCGGGTTAATGAGTTGTAGCAAATCCACACTTTGTAGTTGGGAGGAGGAGAGCTGGTGGCCAATGTTTGTCCAACTGGTTTATTTTTCGAGACCCAGCCTATTGAGGAAGGCTTGTTCAAGCAAGCTTCGTCCTTACAAACACACAAACATCCTTCTGTTTGCCTTCAAAGAAAAGAGGACCAGAGCTAGATTTGCATGCGAATGAGGAGCCCCGGGAGGAGACGTCCTTGCCCATCAAAGGCCGCGGTAGCTGGGCAGCCCTGGGGCCTTTGTTCTGGCACCTGCTCGCCCACGCAGTCTGACTGGGCGAGCTCTGCGCTCCTGGCAGCCCGGTCCCAGGCTACCGCTCACTCCCTGCCTGCCCCGCCGCCTTCGCTCCCCACTATCTTGTCCACCCGCCGCTGAGCCCGCAACACCTCCGGTGGAACCCAGAGCCCGGAGGGTGAAGGAGGCAAAACTGGAGAGTGAGCAGGCGGGTTGGGCTTCTGGCTCAGGGTCTCACAGAGCGCTTGCGGTCTCTCAAGCCGGCGCGGGTGAGTCGGAAGCCCTCCTCCAGACCCCAAATGAGCCCAGCGCTGGATTGCACAGTGCCTTCTTACCATTCTCTTAAAAGCACTGACAACTTGGGGGGTAGAGCCCATCCTGGCACTTTTTTACAGATACGGGAATGTGAACAGAGAGGATTAGCTGGGATTACCTGGTTTCAGGACATCCAAGCATCATGCAAAAATAATAATACCCACGGTCTTGTTCTTTCACTCTCTCCTCATAATGACTTTCAGCTCTAAGTTTCAGATCTGTGACTTACAGAAGGCTGCGAGGCACGCCTGCAGGGCCCGTGCTGTTTGGGTTCCGCGTGCTAACGCCTCTCCACCCCGGGGGCTGCTTGGGCATCCGGACGTTCTCCGTTCCAATGTCTCCTCTCTTAGTCGTGCTAGGGTAAAAATAACTCTTGCATATAAGATCTTGGTCTAACAGTATTTCAATCTGTATCTCTATATTTAGTGGTTAACTTTGAGTGTGTGTTTAAGCTCTTATTTAATCTCCTCCAAATGTTTGATAGGAAAAAACCCAGAACTTAACTTTGAGGCTGTGAGAGTCCATTTTTTTCCTCCCTAAAAAGGGACATGAGGACAGGGCATCAAGGGTGAATGTCACTGCAAAAATACTGGCCTAAAATTCAGTCTTCGTTAACCTGATATGTTTAGTTGTGCAGATCTTCAGGTACATACCTGTCTAGATTTTTGAAAAAGAATTTAATAAACGTATTTAACCTCCTCTGCAACTCACTGATACTAAGCATTTAAATTACATATTATATATGCTTTGGTTTTATTTGGAGCCCACGATAACATCTATCAAAACTAGTCTCACATTTTTTTAAAGAACTAGAAATTGCCTGCAACAAGTAGTTAATGAAAACACTCAAAAGTTGAAAAAATATATCCAAATCACAAAAATTGTATCATTACTTCAATAAACACCTGATACATTTTCATTTTTATTCTTAAAGTGTGTGCTACCCTAAAACTGAAGATTTCTCTTACATACCCTAAGTTACTCATTTATATTAGAATTTCACTGTTTGCCTTTTAGAAAAAAAATTTCTTTATGTAATTCCTGGAATCTCTTCTGTCAAGAAAACAGTAGCTTTAAATACTAGAGCTTTCAAATAAAGTTTTCTTTATATATGTAAATATTATTCAGGACTTCAAAGCCACTTGAGTGTTGATCATATCTATTAAATTTTTTAAACTAAAAATTGCCTATTTGCTTGTGCTGCTTTCATTAAAATATAATGTTGTATTGCAGACTTTTTATAGATATATACAATATTGTGCTCAAAAGCAAGTGGACATCAAATGAGGTGGGAAACTAAAAACAAAATTAAAAGTTCTATAAAATTATCTGAGGGTAACTGTGGTGTTAATTTTAATAGCCTCAATGTTCTTCAAAACGGAATAGAATGAGATTTGAAAATGAACACTAAAGTAACTTCTTCTATTGTAATCATTTAAAAGTATTTTCTGATTTCTTGCAATGGTTTTGACCTAGAAAGTTTAAATGAAAAATCATGGCATGGTGCTTTTGTTAAATTCTCTTTGAAAATAAAATGTTCTATTCTATATTGGGTTCCTACTTAACTCCCATAGAAAATTTCTTAACAGAAAAGAAAATAAACTAAGAAGGGGACGACTGAAGCCAATTTTTTGGTGGATTTTCTTTGAAAATTAAGCATTTTATTTCTGAAAAAGTGTAAAAATCTTACATTAGAATAGTACAATAATAATTGCCAGTAAAATTTACAATACTCCTTGTAAAGAATACGTAGTAAGTACAAAATAAAAAATTCCGCATATCTATTATGATACAAAACACAGGTTAAAATAAGAAATGGTAATTTTTACTTTTTTCCTTGTGTAAACATGTTAATTATTTTTCCTTTTCATGAAAAAGTACACCAGACGAGTGTCCTCAAGTAAAAACTATTGCTTCTTCGCTGGCACTCTTCAGGACCTTTACTATTTGTGTATCATTCTTTTGAACATTGATACTTTTACGCCTGGACCTGAGAATCTCTAGACCTCAAAAAGGCTTAGATTTTTTTTTTTTTTTAATTTCCCACAAGTCAAGGAAGCCCCTTGCGCTTACACAAGGGAGGGCACCCACCAGCACCCTCTTCCTCCCCACCCCGGGTCGGGGGACTGCAGCATAGGGCGACTTTGCATAAATAGAGGGACCCGCAGAGCCGAAAACCGCGCCTCAGCTGCTGCCCAACACAGTCTGGTCTGAGAATCCCAAGCGGCGAAAATGGGGGCGCGAGGTCGGGAGGGGCCGCGCCGGGAGGAGCGAACAAAACACCAAACCACCAAGATGAAAAAGAAAAAAGAAAAAAAAAAAGGAGCCGGGATTCCTACCTTCTCTCCCAAGCGCGCTAACATAGCGTTATTAACAATTTGAAATCCTAGCAGTAAAGTTCTCGACACTGGACAGGGCAGTCCCTTGGTGCAGAGTCCCCAGGGCGGCCGACGAGGAGACCGAGGAGGCGGCGGCGGCCGCGGCGGCCACGAGCGAGCGGGTAAGCGCGGCAGCCGGGCCCACGGCCGCCTGAACCGCGCAGCCGCCACCGCCGCCGCCGGCGGATCCGGGCGCGGACGGCGTCACCGGAGAGGGTGAGGGCGAGGCCTGCACGGCAACGGCAGCTTGCGCTGCGGCGGCGGCGGCGGCCGGGCCCAGGCTGCCCCCAATGATGCTCTCGATGGAGAAGGGCGAGCGCGCCAGCGCCGAGGCGCCCGGGCCGCCCGCCTTGGCAGCCGAGGCCTGCAGTGGGGCGGGCAGGGCGGCGCCGAGTGGGTGCGGCCGGTAGCCGAAGGCGGTCCGGGACAGCTCGGCGGCCGCGCCGTGCGGCGGCGGAGGCGGCGGGGGCGGCCGGCGCGGCGGGGGCGAGTGCGGGTGGAAGGCGGCGGCGGCTGCGGCGGCCGCGGCGGCGGCGAATAGGGCCGAAGGCGGCGCGTAGGGCGGCAGCTGCAGGCCGTAGCCGCAGCCGTAAGGGCCGTAGCCGTAGGCGTGCGGGGGTGGCGGAGGCGCCGGCGGGAAGAGCGCAGCGGCTGCGGCCGGGTCGCCCGCGCCCGCCGCGCCCCCTGCGCCGCGCAGCAGCAGCGACTCGGCGGCGGCGGCGGCGGCGTTGGGCGGGAGCAGCGGCTGCCGCTTGAAGCGCTTCCTCCGGCGCAGGAAGCTGCCGTTGTCGAACATGTCGGCGGACTCGGGATCCAGCGTCCAGTAGTTGCCTTTGCCGGGGTTGCCGGGCTCGCGGGGAATCTTAACGAAGCAGTCGTTGAGCGAGAGGTTGTGGCGGATGCTGTTCTGCCAGGCGGGGAACTTCTCCCGGTAGTAGGGGAAGCGGCCGCTGATGAACTCGCAGATCTCGCTCAGCGTCAGGCGCTTCTTGGGGCTCTGCAGGATGGCCATGGTGATGAGCGCGATCGTTCCAATGTCTCCTCTCTTAGTCGTGCTAGGGTAAAAATAACTCTTGCATATAAGATCTTGGTCTAACAGTATTTCAATCTGTATCTCTATAT